TATGCAAATATGCATTTGTTTCAGAGCAAATAAAACAAATATGTTCTTAGCTGAGTTGCACTGATGCTAATGGCTCAAATTAATTTTTTACCTAGAAAATGATAAGATGCTAAATCCAAATCATCTCACCTTAACTGGTGGGCCTTTTCTACCACTTCTACTGTACAACTCAGGTTTGAACTTCCCTTTTTGATTATATTTTACTTTGTTCTATTCAATTTTAACCACCATTTTAATTCCACTATAGCTGAACTCATGGCCATGGAAGAACTTATATTCTAAATCTAGTTACGGTAGCAGGCAGAACACATTATCTAGAGAGTAGACTCAAGGATGTCCCAGGGCTAAGAAGTGAGCAGCACTTCAAACTCAAGAGATTACCCAGCTTTACAAGTGTACACTACCCTCGGGTGCAGCAGTTAATTAAAAGCTGTAACTGTTTAAAACGTAACTGTAAGAAGCTTTGAATGGAGCACATTAAGAGCCGCACATCATTTAGTTCATATCCTCCACTTTGCAGGTGTTTTACTCAATCTCACAGTAAACTATGAGTCTTTTTCCAGCACTTCTTTTCAGCTAAGTGTATTTTGCCAGAATCAATATCATAGCCAACAGCTGATCTGAAGGCTCTGACTATGCCTTTACTTTCATCTCCATTTAATGTTAAAAGCACAGCAATAAAACCCGCTGCCAAGAGACACAAACCTACAGTTACTAGAGGATCAAGGACAGAGAGGTTTAGCCAAGGCCTAGCACACACTGACATACATCAGGTGGCTGGTTTCAGAGAGACTGTGCTATGCCGAAGTTGAACAAATCCCTGATTTCAACATGTGAGATGGATGGATCCTTTATAACAGCAATTGTTGCTACTAAAATGCTGTCAGGTACTGTGACATTGTAAATCTTGCACAAGTCTGTCTGCTTTCTTTTGCTGTTAGTGAAAGAAGCACATACTGTACACACAGTCACTCTCACATAGGCTGTATTCATGTGCACACACGCACACACACAAATCTTGCCATGGTTGTGAGCATTGGCCTGGAATAGCCACAGAATTGGCCCTAAGCTTTCTGTGTATGTGGAAATGGAGAGAAAACAGGCTGACAAAAAGAGTCAAAGATCTAAATGTGGATGAATAGATAGCAGGAGGGAGAGAGGGGCTGGTAGAGGAAAGAAGGTAATAAGAGTCAGAGATATTCTAGCTTCCTAAACAGGAACAGAGATAAATTGGCCTCACAGCAGCTGGTGTGTGCAGCATCCAGCCGATAAACACATGCACACTTACACATGCAGAGCTCAGTTCATCCATGTTGTACATCACGTTAGTGTATCTCCATATGTTGATTTGCTTCCCTGCTCATTTCTGTAACTTCTCTGATTATGACTGGAAAGAACACAAGAATATAAAGTAAGTAAATCAACTAAACAGTGTGTGCACATTCATTACCTGTTTTATGATGACAAACATTATGATGGGAACTCTTTGTGTATAGTAAGGAACTCTCAAATTACCACACTTTGTAAATTTTGGCTGATGATAATGCGTATCTTTTAACATATTTACATATTGTACTAATTTCCCTTGGAGCGTGTGATGTGCCGACACTCTGTCTTTAAAAATCTGTTCATGTCTTCGACAACATGATTCTTTTTCTGACTTCTGGTATCTGGAGTTTGTTCCAGTAAAGCTTTCAGTCTTTCCAGGAGCACAGTGGCCTCACTGACAGTGAAAGACATTTGAGACTACCATTACTTTTCCTAGAGTTGACCAACTGGCCAAACTGAGTAACTGGGCAACAAGGGCCTTGGGCAGGGAGGCGACTGAGAACCCAAGAGTCACTCTAATAGAGCTTCAGAAGCCCTCTGCAGAGATGGAGAACCTGCTGAATGCATGACCATCTCAGCAGCAGCATTCCTTCCATCAGTCCTTTCTGGTAGAATGACTGTACTGAAGACACTTTTAGTCATAGACAGATGACAGTTGTTTGGAGTTTGTCAAACAGCATTTAAAGAACTCAGAGCATGAGAAAAAAGATTCTCTAGTCAGAGACAAACATTGAACTCGCTGGGCAGAAGTCCAGCACTATGTCTGAAGAACACCAGGCACTGGTCACCACCTGCTAATACCATCCCTGTGGGTGAAATATGAAGAGTGGTCCTTGAAGCAACTGGGGTGACGGCTCATCTTTCAGCATGACAGTGACCTTAAGCATACATCACAGACAACGCTGGGGTGACTTCACAACTAGTCTCTGACTGTCCTTGATTATCCCAGCCAAAACTCAGACTGAAACCACTTAGAACATCCGTGGAGAGACCTAAAGATGGCCCTTGGCACAGACACTTCCTATCCAGTCTGACAGAGCTTGACAGGATCTGCTAGAAGGAATGGGATAAACGGCCCAAGTCCAGGTGTCTGAGGCTTGTAGAGGCTCCCCCAAGAAGGCTGAGCTGTAACTGCTGGCAAGGGGGCCTTTACAGAGTACTGAATTAAAGGTCTGAATACCTTTGCAAATAAGATTTTAGTTTTTGATTTTTTAATAAGTTTGCAATATAAAAACATGGCTACACCTTGTGGATGCTGACTGTAGGTTGATGGGTCAAAATGGCAGTTTTAATGTGCAATGTCTGATCTGAAATTCTAAATAATTTGAAGATCTGAATACTTTCAAAAGCCACTGTACTTCGGTTTCAGTACAGCACAGTAAGGCTATGCATGCAGAGGAAAAACTGTCATATTTGATCAACCTAAGAGTTGTTCCAATGTGACAGCTCACCAGTTTCAACATAAACTATTTCCTCTAGCAGTACTTGGAAAATAAATGCATGGTGAGAAAGCATGTATCAATGGCAGTGGTTTCCCCTTTTCCAATGTTATCTCCCGCCACATGAGAGTAGATGAAAGGAGCCAGGGAAACGCTGTGCTGAATAATTATGTGACAAATGAAGCAATGCCTGCTAATATCAACTCTACGGAAAAGGTTGCTGTACATCTGCATCACCACACAAAGGGCAAGATCAAAAAGGTCATGACTTTAGTTCTGGGATTTAAAATGTTACAGATATGGAGCACTCAATACAAGGCTGCAAACTTGAATAGGAAATATGCTACTTATTATGGCGCATCACATCATATAAGACTAGATGACCACTCAGTGTGTATTTTTAGTGTGTGTGAGTGCAAGAGCCAAATTTTCCAAAGTGAAGCAGACAGCATGTATATTTGTGTGTGTGTATCATAGAAAACAGGCACAGGATGCTGTCATTGCTCAGAGTCACCAGCATGCACACTGCACATGGAGAAGCAACATAAGCAGGCATGTGCACATGATCAAAAAGACAGCAACACTCCCCCAAATAAGCACATACACGCCAAAAGTGCAGACGTACATCAGCTTCAATTCATAACAGCAAATTACAGATGTCCAAAGTCCAAACTAAGGTTAAGCCAAATGCCACCAAAGCTTGAAATAGCGTATGTTAAATCTGTAACAAGACAAACTGCCTAAATCCACATACAAACAGAAAAAAGTGCCAAGAATGTAAATGTGTTCAGTTGTATAAGGTAGATTTGTATAGCGCATTCAAGGAGGCTCTAAAAGTGATGTAGTAATGATGAATGATGTATTGCTGAGTCTAGGCATCTGTCAGAATAATGGATGTTCTGGAGTCACTGAGAGATCCACTGTATATTAAAAGCATCCACAGTACATATTCCTGCCATGGTTTAAGACCGTCCTGTTTCTGTGATGGCTGTCAGTTTACCAAAATCCATTCTGGGTGCTATAATGCACAGATTCTACAATTGTATGTTTTCTACAATTCCTGAATATCAGAACAAAATTGACACCAAAGTTCAGCACTTGGTCACTGTTAGCATATGCTAAATGTGTGGGCCTGACTCAGCGGCACTCGTGCAATTTCTTGCTAGTACTCACTTGTATGTCTGTACAATAGCCAACACATTTTATTGTATCATATCTTGTTCTGTCCTATCGCGCATCATCTGAATCTGTAGCATATGAAACATGTCCAATCCCAACCTATCCCATATTTTCCCTTCTTTCATCCCATCTAATTCTATCCCATCCAAATATATCCTATCAAAACCTGTGATGATGTAATCTGCCCACACCCTATACCCTGCCATTCATTCATTCCTTCTACATCTGTACAGGTAAATGTCATAAACTAATCTACTGTAGGCTGAAGGTGGAAGTAGACAAGCCATAATTACTGCAGTGGCATATCTTCTGTAAACCCATGCAGTAACAGTAACATATCTAAAGATAATTTTAAACCAATTTTGCCAAGAACTACTTCTAGGATCTTCCTGTTACCCATGAGAAATGTCTAAAACACTTAAAACAGTTAAATTTTGTCCAGTTTTAATGGACCGGCAGTTGTCTTTTTACCCACAAGTCAACAGAATCACACTGTCTGTGCTGTGATCAGCTGCTCTAACACCCAACTTTTATTTTGAAAATATTCATCAAAAACTCATTTTCACTTTAATCTATCTCTGTTGAATTTTCATGTATAAAATCGGAGTGGCGTGATAACAGCAGACCCACCAGCGACCGCTAAACACTCCTGTGCTGTTAATCTTTTACTAGCTGGCCATGGTACTCTTTGCAAATAGTTTCAGGCCATAATTACACTTTTACAATTTCAAGTCTTTCAGATTTTTTATGCAAAGAATTGTTGATTGAAAGCTAGATAAATTTCCATAAGTTCATACATTGATCACAAGATAGCATCTAGCTAATGCGAGTGTGTTTTCCAGCACACAATGCAGAATGGGAGTAAAAAAAAAAAAATTTTCCTATGTCTGCAATACTACAAGACTGAATAACTTCTACCACTTGATATAACCTTCAAAGTAATTTCCTTTTCTTTTGTATGTTGTACAATTCACAACATTTTTTGAAAGTCTGAAGTGTATATGATTTATTTTGGCTTTATAGGACCATCTGTCCAACCATGCACGGTCCTACCTGTCACTTTGAGTTCTGTTGTCCGCCGCACCAGTCTGGATCCATACTGTAATTCACAGGTATAATTTCCCCCATCACCCTCCTCCACCTCAGGAATCCACACATGTGTGGTGTTTGCAGTGATGGAGCTTCTCCATTCAACCCGTTCACACTCCTGACAGAAGACACAGGTAGACATAGTCTGCTGTCTACAGAAGACTTAGGAATAGTTACTCTCAACTTTTGTGTGTGTGTGCGTGTGTGTGCATCTTACCTTATACCATGTCATCTGTGGCTGTTTGTATGGAGCCATATAGTCTTCTATATCAGGACAGGTGATCATTTTGCTGTGGGTTACCTCAGCTTTCTCCAGATGGCGGATTTTGCTGCTGAAGCATTTTCCCTCGTCACTCTCCTCCACAGTCATCGACATTGACACTTTCATGCAGTATGTTGAGTTCCTGAATAGATTACAAACACAGCAGAGGGAATTTCTTAGAATGTTCCTCTACTGACACTGTTAGACTTTTACACGTTGCAATATGCAGAGTTCCTAAGAAAAGAAGTGCATAAAAAGTGAAAAACCACCAAGAAACCCTCAAGCTCCGGTTGTGCAAGTGAACTACTCAGTATCACAAAAGTAACATTTGCCGTCTGTATTTTTAAAGCAATTCAAGAATCTTCTAATGCACGTGAGTGGATTTGTTTTGAAAAAAAAAAGTTATTCCTCCAGAAATGAATGATAACAGTGATATTAGTCATTCTTCCATTTGTCTAGCAGAGGAACTCTGTGTACAGTGTAAAAACTATTTTCATGATGAAGGTAGTGGGTAAGTCATTTGTCACAGTTATTGTATTTTGGTAAATTTATAGACCCTGATACTGCAATATTTCCTTGACAACATTGAAGAAATTGTATGGGTTGTACAGTCTCTAACACATGTAAAAAAAAAACATCACTTCATAAGAAATTAAACTTTGTAAAGGCATAATTTTGGGCGATGTTGGTGCATTGATGTTCCTTTTCCCCTTATAACCTCTTTTGTCCACATAGTTTACTGTATGGTCAATCCTTATCCTAGTTGAAAATGAAACTGACAAGACCGTCTAGAGAATTACAAGTGTTACTAATAACATATTATAACCTCCAACTGTCATGTAAAGAGAGGTCCTCTGGCATCAAAGGTGATTTTCTTGTTGAATTTGAACTCCATTATAAATTCCACAAAAAGCTTTACTGTAAGCCGTCATTTTCTAATTTTCTCATAATGCTAGTTGTCAGTTGTTACCTCCCATACTGTGCAAGAATTTGACAGAGCTGTCTACCAGAGCCACTGTGATGAATGATATCCCCTGGTGTCGACAGAGCATGAATTTCTAAGGGCAGGGACAGACAGAGATTAGCTCAAATATTGTGAATTTGATTGAGATTTATTGCTTCCATGCAGAATTATATTGTTTCAAACATAAATCGCACCTGTAGTGCCCCCAAATGTACCAGGTATGTGAAGACTGGATGAAACACTGCATAGCGAAGAGGGAGTGGAAAAAAAAGTGTTTAGCAAAAAAATTATAAATGGCGGAAAATCTAGTCAGACAGAAGTGGGTGGTCTCATTGGCCAAAGGTTTCAGATTCATCCAAGAAATCTAGAGGAAACGGATACTTATATGCCTCATGGGTCATACATTATTAGCCAAAATGATTATATTATTATTAGCTAAAAACATTGAATAGCTTGATGCATGTTGGAGCTGTAGGGGAAATCTTTCTCTGGTGTGTGAGCAATGCATCTGGGAAGGGATGTACCAAGATTAGTGTTAATTTCAGTAAATTAAATTAAAACATTTTTTTTTACCACAAATTGTACAAACACTATTAGATCCTTGACAAATTCACAGCACACCATTCCCCATGGGAAGACACAACATACTTTGGTACATTTGTCTTGAAAACAGAAGGATATTATAAAACTGCAGATATTTTGCAGGTGTTTTTTTTTCACCAAGGTGATGTCTAAGATAAAAATGTTGATTCTGTCCCTTTACCTGATGCAACAACACATAACAATTTATGATTAAAAATGCAGCATCCTTGTTATTCTTTTGTGAAGTTTCACACACAAACAATTCATTTTTGTTTTTTGTTAACAATGGAATAAATGGTGTGGGACTGCTTGTATGACGAACACAGAAAATTGTCACCTCCTCACTTCCTGTTATCTCTACAAAGCATTTTAGCAGCTTTTTGTTGTTTTTAGCTTACAATGTATAAAAATGTATAATATTTCGGTTCACTCCTACCACCCTCATTAACTTATTTTCATTGTTGCAGGTAGCTATTTTAGTAATGATCTCTAAAACGTCCACTGCAAGCTACATGCCCAGGACCAAATGACAGACAAGTTAGCATCTAGCTAACAAACAAGAGCATTTCGCATGCTAAAGGTGAACCAAAAGTGAGCAAATAATTGACTTACATTGATTAGGTAGCCTACGCAAAGAGAAGACTCTAAATAAAATAATAAAATAGAAAATTAATAATAATATCTGGCTCCAGCCCCCCATGACCCTTTTCAGGAATAAGCGTTATAGTAGATTAATAATAATAATAACAATAAAATTAACTTGTTATTTTAGGACAAATGCTTTGCACCTGAGTCCTAAAATCTAATGTCCTTGTTCTGCACCATACACCTGTTGTGTGTTTGCACACCTGACACTGTTGGTGCACATTGTATTGGTCAGGTGAGCACGACCAGAGCTGAAGCAATAACTTGCAAGATGAAGCGTATTGAGAAAATGTGAGTTATTTGTATTGATGCTATATTGCAGGTTAAAGCTCCCAGTGTCAGTCTTGCTGTTGTGCTATTACATGTGCGACAGTATGACCTTGAGATAAACTATGTAATGAAATGAAAAGAACAAACTTGTTAAGATGTGCATGATGTCATGTTTTCAATGTAATTTTTGATCTGAAGTCTAAAATCTGCTCAAGGTGAACTTAATTATGTGTGGGTGTGAGAAGGTCTTGCTGCATGAGTTCCCTCAAGTTCACCTCCAGACACAAAAGACCACATTGATCTTTTTCCTTCTCTCTGTGCAACACACACACACACACACACACACACACACTCCATTGTCCCCTAACTATAACCACCCATCTAAGTGGATCTAAACCACTTATCCCATCACTGTTATGTATATGTGAGTCTCTCTCTGTCTTTCTCTCTCCCTTTGTGCGTGTGTGTTGGTCCTACAAGGGACACAAGCATTAGTCACTGCCCTAACCAAGACCACTGAGCTTTAACCTGGATGCCGGGAAAGCCTTTTATTCACCCTTCCCTCATTCTCCTCCTCATCAATCCATCTCCAGCCTGTAGCATCTTGTTTTCTTCTCCAGTGATTCACCTGTATGCTCCTGTGGTTCTCTTTCTGTTAGTGTGAGTGAGAGTGTGTGTAGAGCGTCAGCTATCTTTTATGTTTATAGGCAGTATTTATAAATGAGTATGTTATGAAGGCTGTCAATGCTGTAAATATTATGTCTCTGTTTTTTTAAACAAATGATTAAAGTGTTGCAGAAAGTTAGGTTAGTAGCTAGTTGGTGGACTGTTTTCAGTATTTATCAGCAAAGAGTGAGTCTGATTTTTTTCTGAGGACTTATTACAGAAAGTACTTAAAGCCAAGCTATTGGAATAATGAATATTACACTTACATCCAACAGGTGGCCAGATGCATTGACTCCACATAAATGCTTATGTTGCTCCATGCCTGCTAGATGTGTTACTTGGAAGCTGCTAGTTAACATGAGTCATAACCTTAGGTGATGATTTATCACTTCTGGGTTTACTGCTAATTTCTACTGCCCACCAAAACCTTGTTACTTCAGGTTTTTTGACATTTCTTGAACATTACCTGACTCTGAATTTCTCATAAATGAAAGATCTACTTGACAATGATTATGTTCCATCTCTGCTTAAGTAAAGTAGATCATACTGTGAAGTGTGAATACATGTGGATCATGGAACACATGTTCAACTTCCACACGAACCATCAATATGTGTGATAAAATATCAGAACTGAAAAAAATCTAGGTCCTCCCTCACAAATAAGGCACTGATTCAAAAACTCCTTCAGAAGCAGACAGGGATTTTATGTTAAAACATTCATTTATCTTGTTGCTGTGATAAGATTGTTCTAAACAATTCCAGTAATATACAGTAAACTGAAAAAGGGCATCTTTCCCTTGTCTCTCTCTTTGCTATGTTCTTCCATATTTTCTTTTTTTTCACAGCTGTATTAGCCTCTGTCATGGTCTCTCCCCCTCTGCTTGTCCAACCCAGAAAACAGAAACTAAACATTAAATGATAATAACAGCATCTATGTAAAGAAGAATGTATTATGCATATCTCAATATAAACATAACAATTCAATTAGACTCCAATGCAAAGGCTGTGTCAGAAGCATTTAGTGCATGCTGTGCTTCTCTTACAAATGCAAATTGTGGGTCTCTGTGTGTGGGTGTGTATTCATATCTGGCATTGTGTGGAATATATTTATATGCTTCAGTTAGTAAAATGGCCCTGAAGTAAAAGACAATTTAATATACTACATGCTAGAGCCACATGTTTTGTTTCTATGTACTACTTTAAAGACAAAAAGAGGTTTTGCATCTAAAATAATAACGTTGCCATGATGCTGAAAATTAGATCCACTTTTCCACTGCCAATTACCTGTAAGGCAAACAAGCAATATCCACTGCTGATTGGATTTAGGACTATTGGAGGAAGAAGCCCATACAGTCACTAAAAATGAATATCCAACAGGTTCAAGCTAACTTTAGATTGATCAAATACCATCCACACCACTAATTATGTTCATGGGAAATTCTGTGAAATAAAAGAAAATAATAATAATCGCTATTTAAAGCAGAAGCAGATGGAGCAGACTGAAAGATGGAGGCTATACCCAAGAAGTTATATTGCATTATTTCATCCCCAACATTTCATGTATGTTTTGAACATCACATCAATTCCACTGTATTTTCACAAAGAGGTTGAAACTTTCCATTATTTGGTTTCCTCCAAGAAGAACTTCACTCAGATTTGGAAGTCAAAACAGTGTGAAATCACAACACCAGTTACTTTTCCAGTAGACTGATTTTCAGCATTCCTTCTTCATTTCACCCTTATTTGCATGATTTGCCAGCCGTGATTTGATTAGACAGTGTAATGCGTCCAGACAAAGCAATCATAATTGTCCTAGCCAGTCCCCAGTTAAACGCGTAGTATGGCCTTGTCATATCAAGCCATCAACTATATTATGTACAGTAGATAAAATATGTTAAGGTATAGTTTGAGATTTTGGAAAATGCACATGTTTTTGTCCCCAAAACGTTGGATGAGACAAGATCAACGCTCACCAATCGGTTAGCTAAGATCAGCTAAATGGAAACATCTAGCTT